CCCCAGATAGCTTTTGCATGTTTGACTTATCAAGACCAAGCGGTTTTTCAGGCATTCCCTCATTTCATCCTTTATGCTGTATTCTGTGTGGTGGATTCTCAGTTACTCTCTGTAGTCAACTTTTATTTCTTCTCACCTTGCCCCCGGCTGTGCTTTCCGTTTGGTTCAAGTTGCCTAATAGAAATGGTCCATGTTGCTGAATAATGTCTCTTGTGCTGTGCTTCCACTTCGCTTGCCTTTGAAATAATAGGCTGCAGAATTCTTTCACCGATCCCCTGTTGTATACGAAAGCCTGCTAGAATCCCTCCGTGGGCCACTGGGCCACTGTACGTCGGGACGGACTCAGTGGCACCTAACAAAAACGATAGCATTGTTAGGCATGAAGCATGTGCCACTGGTCTCTAAAGATTCGCTGTACCAATAAGCCATCTGTGTACGTTAGCTTTTTCTTATTGGAGTTCATTTAAAGTAGAATTGTGGACTACGTTAGACCTTGTTGAGATCTACTGTCTGTAGGTGACAAGTTAACTGTTCTTCGAGTTGGTGCTGCAGGATTGCTTGTCAGGTTCCTAGATTATTTCTATTTCTTAAATGCCTCATATTATATGAAAAGGGGAAATCTCCTTATATTTCCTTATTCACCATTGATTTCTGTTTTCAAGGGGTGGACTTGAGTTCACTCAAGAGTTTTGGGGCCTTCTCCCAGGTCTTGAGGCTGTAATAAAGAATATAGTGTTCAGGATTTGGATAGGAGAGTACATTGAAAAACTTTTAAGCTTTAAAAGGAAATTAGTTTCATTCTTGTTAGTCTTTATAGATTTCTTTCCTGGCCATATAGTTTTAAAAGTTAATTATTTTGTGGTACTGCTCTATCTATCTTGTTTAGGGCTGACTGACCTTATAGTAGCAGCTGTTATATCATTAAAATTAATAACAGGTTAATGATAAGCTGCAACTTATTACTATCGACGAGGTGTTTCAGAGCTGTGAAATCTTAATCCCTCTCTAGGTGCCCAGCAGAGACACCTAGATGTCTTCACACGGTGCATTTTCATAGTGAAGTGTGGTGGGATGGGGGAAGAGGCGACAGGGACCCAATGTGGCCTTAGCAGGGTAGAACAAAGCTTCTTCAATGGAGATTCGATGGTCAGGCACCTGAACTAGCAAAGTTTTATACCTTTTAAGGAAAAGGGGTCTGAAATTTCTCATTTCTAAGAGGTCTTTGGCACCTAAAATATTAAGAGCCACTGGCATTAGAATAAAGAGAAATATGTGTGGTCTTCTTTTGTATTAGCTTGCTAATACTGCAACAACAGAAATGCCACAAATGGGTGACTTTAAACAACAGACATTGATTTTCTTTTAATTTTGGAGAGTAAAAGTTCAAATCACAATTTTAGCTGCATTATTTTTCTGTGGGCCTCTTTTCTAGTTTCTGCAATTGGCCAGAATGACCTTCTATGCATATAGACAGGGCTGCACATGGCATTTGCCGTATGTGCGTGCGATGGTTCTATTCTTTTAAAGACACCCTTGAGATTTCTACCCCTGTAAAAAGTTAAAGCAAAACTGTTCCTGTAAAAAGGTACAGTCTCAGAACCCCACAGAGGCAGTTCTGCTCTGCCCTATAGGGTCACTTTGAATCAGGTGTTTTGGTTTTAGAAGTGATTAGGTTTAGGACCTACTCATATAGGACCCACCCTAAAGAATTTAGTAACATAAGAAGAATCCTGTTTCCAAACAGGACCCTATTTATAGTTATCAACATAAAATATCAACACACATTTGGGGGGAACATAATTCAGTCTATAACATATTGCCCAGAAGACACTGCTCTTAGGTAAGAAATCTATATATATATATATATATTTCTTGAGAGATCACAGAATATTCTTGGAAATGATGAATTTCCTAATAGTCTTAAACTAATAAAACCTGTACTCTTGATAGGTCTAAGGAAGCTGCACTCGATTAGCCCCAAAAGTTTTTGTGTGTTTTATCAAATTTAAGATGAATTATAATAATTGGCAAGTTCTTTCTTTTTTTTTTCTCCCTATATAGAATTTGCCATCTGCTGTGGTAGCTCATGTTCTGAGCCCTCAACCTGGAGAGAGGATTCTAGACTTATGTGCAGCCCCAGGAGGCAAAACAACACACATTGCAGCCTTGATGCACGATCAGGTGAGACTGTCTTCACACCAGAACTACTGAGTGTATCATATTTCATTGGAGAAGGTGGAACTTTGTGTAGTTTCTGGACCATTTTTACACACATCTAAGCCAAAGTGAAGACACTTTAGAGATGTCAATTATTATTCACTAAATTCAGTAGAAAATTGCCTTTTGAAGACAGTTTCTCAAGACTCCTTGAAATACCAGTTTGTTAATACAATGATAGAATATGATGAGAGAGTAATTGAGAACGCCTCTAAGATATTTTTCCTTGAAGAAGTAAAAGAATAGGATCATTTCTAGATAGAGCCAGCTACAGAAGGCCCACATTTGCATCGAGAAATCAGAAATTCAACTTTGAGCATATTCAAGTGAGATCTCCACGAGTTTTGAGATGTGAAGGCAATTGAATTTTTGAGTCAGGGGCCCAGGAGAGAAATCTAAGTTGGAGATAATAGATTTGGAAATCAACCTAAGGGTTAATATGTAAGCCAGAGGGTTGGAAGAGTGAAAATAGAAAACAGAGGACAGAGGCGGTCCGGACTCTGAGGCTCACGGATAGGACAGGCTAACATTCCGAGGTTGGAAAATGAGAAGGAATGGCTAGCATTGTAGGAGGACAACCAAGAGCATGTGCCACCCTGGAAGCCATGTGCAGACGTGAGTTGAAGGAGGATGGAGAGGTTAACCTATTAAACATTGCTGGTAGCCAGGTAAGGTGCGGACTAACTTCACCACTGGATCTAGCAACTTGTAGATCATTGGCTTTTGCTTGGTTTTAAGGAGGAGAGCCATTCGAGAAAGTGAGGAGAGACAGCTCTGATGTGGGGGGAGTGTTGTACTGATCAGAGCTGTAGAGGGTTGTTGTGCTAAGGTTTTAAGATGACAAAAAGAATGTTTCTGGGCCACTGTGAATGATACTTGAGGAATGGGAAATCTCGGGAAAGAGGGGACAAAAACTGCTGTAACAGTCTCCTTTAGTAGGTGAGATGTGATAGGATTTGGTGCATCATGAAGTTCAAGTGAGCATATTTAGTAAGGCTTTGAACTTTTCAGCCATGTGGAAGAAGACCTGGAGTTGGAAGAGAATTGAATTTACCCAGGAAGAGAATTGAATTTACCCATGATTGCATTTCTTTCGTCTGAGTATGTGCAAGGGAGGAACATGAGGCTTGAGGGTGCGTGCAAGGCCATGGCTATCAGACAGGCCCGGAAAGACCTTAAAAAGGGGAGAAGGGTGGACCAGTTGCTACTTTTCTGAGTTAGCTCCAATGTATACAGTCTTGTGAACCTAGATAACTTGGTCATTATCTCCGTGGCACTCCTTTACAAAGAAGAAAAAATTACCCGAGACAACCCTTTCTGGAAGAAAAACACACCTCTGAAAGGCTTTCTAGTACAGCTTTGCTACCAAAAGCCTTCAGTTCTAGCTAGTTTATTTATCTATCTTCTCAACCCCGAAGTGCCAGATAGTGGACTTGACCAGTTGATCCATTTTTAAGCCATGTTTGATGATTCTTAAGACTTTCAGAAGACGAATAAGCAATATTTTCCAGAAAAAAAGAAAAAAGAAACATCTACTGTGTCAAGATGAAATTGTAACTTCATCTAGAACATTTTGCTATTATATACTGTATCTGGGCTTATATTTTTGGTGTTAATTGCCTCAATTCATTCATTTGTTTATGTGTGTAGCTCGTAAAATATTCAGATGAATATTTGGTTAACGAATTCAGCTTTAAATCTCAGGTGAGATTGGGAAAGGGGAGTTTCCCATGAGTTTTTCGTATTGATCATTTTCATGACTGCTTTGGATGAACACTCTATTTCTATGGATTATTTCATTTGTTTGTTTGTTTGTTAGGGAGAAGTGATTGCTCTGGATAAAATAGCCAGCAAAGTAGTGAAAGTCAAGCAGAATGCTGTGCTGTTGGGGCTGAATTCCATCAGGGCTTTTTGCTTTGATGCAACCAAAGCCCTTCAGGTCGAGATGCTTGAGGACACAGGAGGTGCGTTAGATTTTATTTTAAATACTCTCCATAAGTGACTTCCACAGACAAATAACAAATCTCAGTTCTTGAAAGCTGCTTTCGTCCATTTCTTGTAATAACAGTGCCATTTATGTCATTTGTCATCTTTTTTTTTGCAAATTGTCTAATTTTAAACTACATCAAATTGTCTCTCACAGCCACCGAGTTGAGCTGACTCATA